AATAAAGGTCGAGTTGCACTTTTAACTTTTGTATCATTTAATCGGGATTAAATTTTCATTGGTCGGTAAATGAAATTTCTTTGTACAGAGCTGGTTTTAACATGACCTGCATGAATAAGTTTTTAGATTAGCGGGATTGAATGAGAATTGTTGCATACAAACAAATAGCTTTTAATAGATTAACATATTTTTCTAACTTTTTTTAAAAAGTGTAAATTTTCTTTTTCATGCTTTCAACTTTTAGAATAAACTTTTTACAAAGGTTTGTTATTTTTCTTTTCTGTTTCCGAACTAAACATTTATTTTATTTATTTATATTTATATTGATAAGAACATTTTGAAATAAACATTTTAAAACATGTCGCCGATTACCCTTTTTCATTGGCATGAAGATGTCAAACATTGAAGAAAACAGTTGGACGATATATTAATTATTTTTTTATATATATCGCCCTTGTTTAAACTGTCCAGTGGCGGTAGTGTCTAATTAAATCAGGGTTCCTTGGAGTGCTTTCTGTCTATTTAGAACCAAGAGAGATTGCAACGGCGGTAGCATATCTATCTATCTATCTATCAAAATTCTTATCATCCGGCAATTACATGTTAAATATATTTGCAAAGACTTACCGGAATTCTTTACTTACACTGTAACAGGGAGTATTTATGAATTTTACATAAGATTTAAATCTTTTACGCCTCCAATCATAGTTCCTTTTTTTCAAAGCTTTTTAGAAAAACAAAAATGGTTTGAATCCATAATACGTAACCGGATAAATTTGATCTTTTTGAGACTTGTGCGTGCATCAAGACTAGAAAAGCTAAAAGGTCACAAAGTTGTACAAGTGATGTGGAATTTGATCTATAGTTCAGTGTGATATGTAAATATCTTGACGTTTTACTTTTATACCGAAGTATTTTAGTTTTATTTAATCTTCAAACAAATATATAGAAATATTAAATATTTACGTTATTTGTCTGCCGTTGGTTTAGATTCAGAAAACAAGGAAACACGTGTTATTACCGGCCAAGATGTAACACGTGTTATTACCTGCCAAGATGTAACACGTGTTATTACCGGCCAAGATGTAACACGTGTTATTACCGGCCAAGATGTAACACGTGTTATTACCGGCCAAGATAAAAAAGTATTATATTGTTTTAAAATTTTAAGTGAGAACAAAAAAACCTATGTTGATAGAAGACGACATCAGAAGTTTTTATTTTAAAATTGAATTTCAAGTTTCGGGAAAACCTTTTTGCTCTGCAACAAGAATAACAACATCAAATACATATTCTTTAATATCGTCTTCATATTCTAGTTGATAAGTCTCACTGTACAACAATAGAATTAAGAAAATTTACGAATTTTTTAATTGTGTTTCCAAAGTCCTAATTTAATGAATTCAAGCCGCGTCTCAAATCACCCCAAAACCGGTTTTAATTGAGCGCCGGCATAATTCTTGAAAAACTGAATACAAATCAAGAACCAACCATATTTGAGCCACGGTTTAAATTTAAGGCGCGGCTCAAATATTTTAAATTCGGCCTCAGGTAAATTAACATTTGAAAATTAAAATCAAAACTTCACACTGTATTAAAGTCTTTACTGAAGTTTGAGGAAAGGAAAGTTTAAAAAGTTACAATGTCTACTGCGTCAATTTTTCGCATCAATATATAACTGTAACAAGATGTTTATACTCTAATAATTCTTTAAAAGTTTTTACAATTCTATTTTAAGTATATTTAGAAAACATATGTGCATATGCAATGCCGAAATTAAAACTTAAAATTTTAAATTCGTAAGGTAATTATTATATTCTTTAGGTAATTGCTTCTCTCTCAATTCTACATAAACAATAACACTGAAATGATTTTTTAAAAATAATTTTTTATGCATTGTGACAAAGAATGTATAAATTTTAGCTAATTTATTTCTAAAATACGTTTTTATAAGACATATACCAAATAAAATGTAACAAAAAACAAGATTTTTTCAGCAATTTTTTGTCCCTCTCTATAGACACTATTTGATGTTTTTTCAGTAAAAGCAGCCCAATAACATTTAAATTTATTATATTTTAATGTCATTATGTGTTCGTTATTATGTACTAAAATATGAAAACTTTTGATATTTGAGTAAGCAAGAAATTTACGTTTTTCGTATTAAAACATGCAAAACATGTGTATACAAAGACGACGTCTCTACGACAATCAATTAACCATTACTCGTATTTTGGTTCGTAGATTTTGTAGATTTTGTTCCCGTATGTGCACAACTTTTCATTTTTCATGCCGCATTCAATTCAGCTTTTTACACAGGCAATACACAATTTTGAATGTGATAAAATAGTGTTATTTTAGAAATAGAAAGTTAAAAAAAAAAATAATAAATAATGACATTTACAATTAACGATTAGATACTACAGTTTAATTTTATATTCCAAATTTATTTTGATCCACAACATACTGAAAAAAAAACATCAATTAGTGTCTGTCTATAGAGAATTAAGGGCCGTCCCTTTCCGCTCAAATTCTGAACGAAAATTCGGCTTTTTCTCCGGCCTCAGTTGTCTTTGAAAAGTAAGACTATATTACCATTTACCAATCAACAGCGAATAGGCTGTTTAGCTTACCCTGAAATTACCCAAATAAGTGGACGGTCCCTTTAAGTAATTTTTTTCTGTATCGATCTTTTGAATGAACTTTATCCCAAAGATGAAGACGATGTTTTAGGTAGGGTTCACAAAAACGGATAAAATCGAAAAATAGTTTCATTTCTTTAAATTTTCTTACGGTTCTTTTGACGGGTCTGTAAACGTAATTTAAAGTTACATAGAGTGAGCTGTGTCCAATTCACAACTATGCCCTGAAAAGCTTGGTCTGATCTAGTATGAATTAGAAATCCATTTTAAAAAAAACTGATTATTTTCAATTGTGGTTTCAATTCAAATGGGACTTGCGCACTGCACATTTTGCTAAAGGAAACAATAAAGGAAATATTCAACACTTCTCAAGCTAGAAAACCAGGTTAATTACCACATTATTGATCAGAAAAAGGTGTCAAGAGTTATTGTTGTCTATCGGGCATGCCAACTTTTTTTTTTTTAAATGGAGAGGGTCACTGGAAATCACGACAGTCTCAATTGGGCCTGTTTTTAACATTTTTGTGTGTTAATCACGCTTATTTTGATGTTAACTTCGGAGATTTTCCAGTTTTACAGAGAACAAAAAAATAAAAGGGCATCACACGCCCCTTTAATAAAAGTCAATTCAAAATATATGAAGGACAAAGTCTGACCGCGTCAACCTTGTTGCACCGGCTAGTCCTGTTGATTGTCTGCTTAATTAACCCAATGTCCGTGCGGTACAGTACAAACTGGGACCGGAAAGGTTGACCCGGCTCGACTAAGGCTGCCCGTGATCATGACATGATCAATTTAGAAGGCGGTGAATTTCAAATTTGCATCACAGAACTACAGCGATAGCCAATTCCTATTTAAAAAAATTATCATAATTGTTCTTATAAGATTTTTTTATGCTCAGAAGCATGTTTTCTTATGTATTGTGAATTCGCAGCCCCCGAAATTGACCATGGATGGACGACAGAAAAATGAACTTTTGCACTCAACCTGTTGAATCATTATGAATGGCAGGCAGGAATTTTTTGTTAGTTGTAGCTGAAATTGGAAAATCGAGCATTTGTTTTAAAACTATAATCTAGGGTCGCAACCATCCGAAAAGTAAAAGATTCATAACTTGATTTTTTTTGGTTGGAAATTCCAGGATGATTGAATGTGCTTAATTAGGGTTTCAAGTAAAATGGGGACATCGTTTCGTGAAATTTTTCGCGAAAAAAATGTTTGCCCAAAATTTATCATTTTGTTCGTTGAAATTTTTCTCTAGATTTGCGGACAAAAGTGGGTTCCCCAAGTAAAGTTTTAAATTCATTTCTGTTTTGAGAGCACTCAAACTAATTCTAGGGCATGCTTCATTTTTCCATATTCATCAACAAATCTTAAAAATCCAAGTTCTTTGAATTTCTTTTTTAAAATTTACTGTTAAGGTAAGCTGATACTCAATAAGCAATAAAGAAAAATTTTGATTGAAGCAGACATTTTTGGTGAAATTTAAAAAATAGTTAAAATAATTCTATTGAGAGAATCTGGATTGTTTACTAACGATCTGAAATATGTTAGGTAGCACACGGATCCAAACTGCTATGAAATGTTGCACAAATTTTCAAGTCATGGTTATTTTTAAAGTGTTGTGTTGGCCTTTGATTTAAATCTTTTTTTTCCTATAATGGTACAACTAAGAACTACTAGGCTTTCAGAGCCCCATTTTCTATTTCTTTGTATTAACATTGTAAAATAAAAACAAAAAAAGTTCGCGGATTTTATCAAAAAATTTCGTGGATTTTCAAAATTAATAAAAATCGATTTTTGTTGGAGGCTAATTTTTAAAATTTTGATCATCCATAACCTCTCCCTGTGAGGTCCCGCACAAAATTTGGGCCCGATTGGTTCTGCCGTTAATTAATGTTCATTTACATAATAAAGGACTTATTTCAAGACTTAGTTTTAAGAAAGTAACTGGCCAATTTCTCAATGATTTTTGCGTGAGAGCAACCATTGGATCACTGATAACATGTGGTTTACTAAGATAGGACGAGAGGAGTCTTGTTTTTACATATATCGTTCCTGATAATTCTGTGGGCTTTTAGTAATTGAATAGTTCTTCGTATTTACACCGTTTTAGGACGCCTTTTGTTATTTTTTTGGGGGGTAATCGCGTAATTTTTTCTTTAATCTCTCAATATCTTTATTTCAACTTATGCAATTTATTTTTATTATTTTCCCTCCTTTTTAAAAACTTTTTTTTTACTAGCTTGTAGATATATATATATAGATATATATATATCTATAGATAATAGATATATGTACACAAATATATTAAAATTTTTCTGATCTCGAGCTCTTCTGAGGACAAAAACGACAAGATCTACATAACCGTTTATTAATTTTCAAAAAATTCGTTCTCCAGGGTAGAGGTAGTACAGATTATATTTTATTTGAACTATAGAACAGGATAGGAGCAAGTAGGAGGGATCACATGAGGATTAGAAGGGATAACATGTGAATTGGAAGGGATCAGTGGAATTGGATTTAAGGATACAAATTTTATTTAAAAATTAGGATTAGGATTGAGGATTATAATTTGGTTTAGGGAGTTAGGAAAAAGGTTTAGAATTTTATATAGATTTTGGCATCTTTGATTTTCGGATAAGGTTTGATGGGGGACTGGACAATGGTCACGGATTGCGAAAGGATTGAATTTGGATTGGACAATGGACACGGATTGGGTAATGATTGAATTGGGATTGGACAATGGAGATGGATTGGATTGGGATTGGACAATGTAGATGGATTGGATGAGAGGTATTGAGCATCAAGAACCTGTATACCCCTACCCCACAGTATACATTATAAAGCAGAAATGAGCATACTTAACAGTTTAGTATCTAAATGTTTAAAATGTTAAAAACTGACGGAAAGAGGTAAACTTCAGAAATATCTTAAATTTAGCGAAACAGTGATGTTTAAAATCTCCATGTGTTCGGAACGAGACGGAAGCTTGGAATTATTATCTGTTTGAAAATTCTGCCTTTTTTAATCAAACAGTTTGCGGGTTTTAGAAAATTAAAAAAGTTTCAGTCTTGAAATAGGGTTTTCTTGAAGTGTTAAAACTGAACACACGAACACTGAACAGTACACTGGTAATTATTCACCGGTAATCGAGTACATAATAAAACTTTACAATAACGTTCTCATACCTAGGGGTTACAGTCGGAAACTTTTAAATTCAATCGGATATAATGATGAAAACGGAAAACAAATTTTTTAAACAAATTAAAAACTGAAAATGTCTTAAGATTAGACATTAATCAATAAGTTTTAATCTGAATTTTCGACGAGTAAAAATTTCCGACAGCAACCATGATTCATTCGAGATATTCAACAAAATACTAAATAAAACTGCTCTTGGGGAAGGATATATGGATCAAGGTAACAAGCTAATCATGGTTTAGACAAGGGAGCATTCAGCTAGGGGGTGTTCGATGTTTTTATCTAGGGTTATACAAGTTTGATTTTAATTGAAGCACTGGAATGTTCAGAAAAGTTGCGAACATGTTTTATCCCGGGCTGCTGGCTTCCAAGCAATTGTTCAAGATATGAACAAGGGATTGAAGGAGGGTATGATTATGAACAAGGAATTGAAGGGTATGGATAAGGAATTAAGAGGGTAAGAACAAGGAATTGAAGGGTATGGATAAGGAATTAAGAGGGGAAAGAACAAGGAATTGAAGGGTATGGACAAGGAATTAAAAGGGTAAGAACAAGGGATTGAAGAGTGGTTGAACAAGGGTTTAAAGGGGGCAAGAACAAGGGATTGAAGGGTGGTTGAACAAAGGTTTAAAGGGGTAAGAACATGGGATTGAAGGGTGGTTGAACAAGGGTTTAAAGGGGGCAAGAACAAGGGATTGAAGGGTGGTTGAACAAGGGATTGAAGGAGGGTTTGAATAATGGATTAAAGGGGTAAGAACAAGGGATTAGGAGATATGAACAAGAGATTCAGAGGGAAAGAACATGGGAATAAAGTGTGATTGAACAAGGATTTAGAGGGGTAAGAACAAGGGATTAAAGAGGGATATGGACAAGGGATTTAGAGGGGGTAAGAACAAGGGATTAAAGGGGGTGAGAACAAGGAATTAAAGAGTATGGACAAGGGATTTTGAGGGTAAAAACAAGGGATTAAAGGGGGAGTATGAGTTTAAGGAAGAGGGTATTAACAAGGGAGGGGGTTACATTAGATGCAACTTTATTAGGAGCTGACAACAGTTAGATATCCTTGTCTAGGACTAGGATATACATAAACCCTAGCACCCGCCATATATAACTCTATAAATATAGTAATCAGTTCAAATTAAAATCTTGAATAAACACATTTTGAATGCAGTTTTCTATGCTTAGGGGTTTGAATTGCACGGGGAAAGAATTTCTCATGACGCACCGGGTTATTTTGCTTAAATCACAAAGTTTTACTAGAAACATGGTTTAAATAACAAACTTAAATCTTAAATCTATGAAAAAGCTATTTACAAGGGCCAATACATATATACCTCTCGACGCTACAAGCTAGGCCTTTTAAAAAGGCCTAGTTTGTAGCAGTAACATTTATACATTGACAAAAATTTCCCATCTCATGATGGTGATTAAAAGTAAGGAACAGTGTGTGTGTGGTAACTATAACAAGAATCTGCAAACTACAATCTCTTAGAGAGCCTTGCAGTTCGCTAATGTGGTAACAGTGACTTTTAGTCTTGAATTAAAGATTCTATTTTGACAACAATATTGATTCACTGACTTTTTTTTACACTTGATCCTGTTATGGGTAGAAAAGTGATATTTTTCTACTGGTTGTTTTATCTTTTGATTTACATTTGATTCTGAATACAAAAAGGGGGTTTGTGGTTCATTTTCTGAAATGTACCGGATACCCCACTTTATATATTCCACCACTCCAACCAACCTTCAGGATTTATATATTCATCTTTTTAAATATTCTCAGTCTCTTTCATGTACACAATTTTAACTGCAGAGAAGTACATGTCTGTACAAAGTACAAAGTACAAAGTACAAAGTACAAGGTACACATCAAGATTAGTAAAACTTGCAGAGAAATTCAAGTTTGTACGAAAAAGGTAAGAATACTTAAATAGAAGTTAAGCTATTGAATTTTATCACTATTGTTACAATTATAAAATAAGTTGACAGCAAAGAATACTTGTCAATAAAAAAACCGGTTTTTAACAATGCATCCAGGTCGGGCAGATATATAAACTTTGAGATTGCATAAATATATGATTATTTTATAATATATTCTATTAAAGATCACATAGGACTGAGGCCATTATAGTTAAATGTCTATTGCAGAACCTGGTGTTTGACCAGGTGGAGGTATTAAAGTACGACCTGAATGCACTAGGTTTATAAAGCTCTAGAGCAGAACTGGACAGAGTAGAAAGAGGTATAAAGTATAAAGGGGGGCATGTCTGGTATCTATATCTGGGGTTGCATTGAGGCTTAATCTCTGTCCAGTGTGTGCTCCAAGAGCTAAACTATTGATTAAACTACTGGTAGATGAGGTAGATCTGACAGAAGAGGTCAATTTGGTTAGTGGCGCCTTGATTACTGTGTCAGAATCAATATCGCCAGATTACCCGAAAATGGCATTTTTTTGAAACCCTGCCGCCCCGCTTGGGGACATAAGAGGTTTAGCTGTTTAGAACAGTGTAGCATGAGGTAGGTGGATTTCACCTGGATCAAAATCTTTTTTTTTTAATAAATCCCGTTTGTACATTGACTGTAGCAGAGGGCACTGTAACTCTTCATATAGCAAGCAAGGAAAATCAGTCTTATTCGTTTCAAAGAGGTTGAATATCTTACGTATAAAAGCGACCAGAACCTTCTCTCTTAACACAATCGAACTCTCATTCATTTCATTCATTCATAGTCGCGTTATATATATAGTCTCATTATGCAGAGGAGTAGACAGTGGTCCATGGACCTGAAGTACTGCTGCAGTCCAACGGGACTCCTGGTCAGGGCTGTTGGGACTGATGCATGGGGTCCGGATATATTTGGTCCGGAGGTACCTTGGTCTGACCAAACTTTGTTGGGATCATGTTTGGTTTCACTTGGTGTCGATGTTCGCGCGCAATATGCCGACGCACAGTGTTGTTGCGCGTAAATGATCGATGGCAGAAGGGGCAAGGAACTCGAATACCTTGATGTCGCTGTCGAATATGCGCTCTGAGGTTGGTCTCATATCCGTAGGTTCGCTCACAGAAAGGACATTTTAACTTCGTGCCTGCAACACACTTACCTTAATTAAACTTCATCATGAAGTGAAAAGTTGAAAAACTTAAAGAAACCCAAAAATAAAAATAAATTTTAAAAAACCAAAGAGCTCATCGGCCATCAATAACGGAACAACCTTTAAATGTGATTGATCTGAGGTAAAAACTTTTAAAAAAGATTAAGCAGCGTTAATTAATCGACAAATCGGAGGTCCTCATCTTTTCAAATTTTACAAATCCGAAGAAAGTTGACAGATTTGATTTCAATTTTCATTGTTCCATTTTTCAGATTCTTCAGATTTCGGATATTAATTGTAAATATCGAGTAAACTTTTCTGATCCCTGTATCTTTGCAACCTTTGACTATTTGATCTAACTGATTTTAAAGTTTGGAATATAAAAGGTCTTGTCATCAGACGTAAAGATAGGGAAAAGAACAGTTTGAGGCGATTAATCCCTTAAAAAATAGATTTTACTCCGCATGATTTATAATTTTACTCTAACCTGTTCCCGAAGTAGGTTCCCCTGGAATTGCATTTGGATCAGGAACTGTCTGAGCTATCCTGGCAAGATCACTGGCTGGGATGCCTAGGGGAGCTGTCAGTGGACTGCTGAAGCCCCCCGCACCGACTAAAAAATGATCTCCACGAGCAGTTGCTTGTCGCAGTAAATCCATCTTCTGTATAGTCGCCAGCTGGTTCTCACGCTCGCTGTTGACCTGGGCTAACCGGCGCAGAAAATCCTGGTTGTTCTCCCGTTTAATTCTCTCCTCGGTGTCGTTGGTCCGTAGATCTACAATAGCTAGGTAACATAAGTACATGGAAGAGAGATTAAAGGGACTGTAAACGTAGTTTCAAATAACTCTCCATTTAAAGAGGGGCGTGTCTAAATAACAATGATAACCTATTAACCTTTCATGTGCAATATATCAGAGTTTTTTAGCTTTCAACGTTTTCAATTCTGGAAAATTCCTCCAATGTTACTGTGGCAAGAAAAACACAATTGAAAAAATCAATTATCTCAGATAAAAACATGAATATCTCATACGCTCATACAAAGCTTTCAAGGGTACCGTTGTGAATCGGAAATGACAATCAATAAATGAGGGTCGCTAGAATTTCTACAGTTCCATTCCAACTAATCTATAAATAAATTTGGCTTGTCTGAATAAGAAAAGCAGAATCGTGACTTTCAGGAATTTTAACAATATTTAAAATATTGAGTTCGCATTTTGCATATTTGTATTGTTTTGCATTTCTATATATGAATAGTATTGAATCTTATTCGACTCTTCAAAGTGATTCTTTTTTCTTGAATTCTGTACAAATATCGTTAAAAGCATATAAAAAATTATAAAAAATGGGTAAAATTAAAAAAAACAAACCTTTCAAAATGGGCATACAAAGTCCAACCGAGTAACGAATATTAGTTAACCCACAACAAATTTCATATGTTTTTAAAAAGAATTTTTTAAGAATTTAAATTTTTTATCCCACATTTTATCGAGATTATTTAAACAAATTTGAAGGCACGTTGATAATTATACAAGAGCAAAAAGACGAAATCAATTAACCGACGTATTTTACTACAGCTGGTATAGAATGAAGGCCAGGAAACCACATGTTTTAAGCAAATGAAAATCTTGAAGACTGATGGAACTGTAAACTATTTTGGAAGTGAACATTTAAAAAGAGTAGCATTAAAGATTTATAATTGTGCCCTTCTCTCTGGTCGACAAGATTACATTGTAATTACACAGTAATTTACTTAATAAAAGTTTAAAATGAACTATTTTCTATTATGTAGTATTCTACCTTCAGCTGCCTCTGATCTGGTCGGATTACTCTGAGAACTCATCCTGCTCAGGGTCTCACGGGAGTCAGAGAAACTACCGGAGAAGGTTCTACTCCGCTCTACAGGGCTATCTTCAGTCTTCATTCTCTGAGGTTCAGGTTCGTCAAAACGGCGGGATTGGGAGGGAGAACCACCGCCTTCACCGTTATCGGCGACCATAAGCTTACCACGAGGACTCGGCCGGTCGAACGGTTCCGACGAAGGCCGATGGCTGGGAGGAGATCGGCCATGTTTACCCAATTCAATTTTCCCATTGGACGCAGTCTCGAAATGATCGTCCCGGTCTCTGGGACTAAACTTGTACTGGTGTCCAGGGTCTCGACCTGGACTCGGAGAGGGGTGACCAGACTTACTGCTGGAGAAACTGAGTACACTGGACGAGGTAGGTTTCGAACTGGTGGATTCAGGTCGCGTAAACCCGGAGAAATTCTGGTACAACGAAGGTATAGAGGTAGGGAAGGGTCGGGGGTAGGGCTGCTGGGGGAAAATTGGAAGATTGTGAGATATCGGGGACTCCGGAGGAACTGCAATTCGCCCTGACGGGACGGGAGATGCATCTCGTTCTCTAGCTGGTTCAACTTCCTTCTTTAGATTATCCTGGACTGGAGGAGACCATGTCCTCTCTCTCTCAGCAGCAATATTATCTCCATTGAATAATCCTTTCACCTAAAATCAAAAATTACAGCCTCGAGGATGAAGGAACCAGGAGGCTAAATAGAGGATGGTTAAACCCTGGTTGTATTGTATAAATGACCTAAATACTGCATCAATGGTTTCCTAAAGAATATTCCCGCTAAGATCAATTCTTTTTTGTGTTGTTTTTCTTTAATCTATTAAATTTACATTTTTAATAAAATTCTTGTCCGTCATTTTCAAATTGTCAAAAAGAAAATCAACAAATTTTATTTTTTCCCGGCTTGAAAGATACAAAAGGTGCGAGCAATTGAGAATAATCATAGACTTATAATATTCAGTGACTGCAAAGGAATTATGTCTTAGCTATAAACTCTAATTTTCTAATTCTAATATTTTTGCAACCCAATGTCAAATCAAATCAAATCAAATCAAATCAAATAAAATCAAATCAAATCAAATCAAATCAAATCAAATCAAATCAAATCAAATCAAATCAAATCAAATCAAATCAAATCAAATCAAATAATCTAAGTAAGAAATATCAACGGTTAACACCATCAGGTTGCAAAGATGTATTAGAAAATTTGAGCTTGTGGCAACGACTCAATTTCTGATAAAAAGCAGAAAATTGGACTATGGACTGCTATAATGAGGTTGTAATATTTTCTTTTCACGGATTAACTATCAATATAATGTAATGACTGATCCAATGCACGTTAAAAACTTGAAGGAAGGTTTGTTTTCCATGAACTGTATGCAAATATTTCCTTTGTGAGTATAATAATTTATAAGAAGTCAAGATTTGATAATGAACTGCTAATTATAAAAGGAGTTAGAATTTAATAATTGAATGCATTTACTAAGTATTAGATGTGTTTTTCATGAACTGCCAAAATTAGATTTTTCTAAGAACTGAAAATATTACAAGGGAGAGGATGTTTGATCATGGACTGCTATTGAAAGGAAAAGAAGATTCTACGTGGCATATTGTCCAATGTCCATGGACTGCCAATATTGCGACTAAACTGAAAAATCTATAAAAAGGATCAAAGAAAATACAACTTGAGTTTCTAGTATGTATATTTAACAAATCAAGGAGTATCAATCTACAGTACACCTGTAATTTTTTTTATATGATGGTTACGAATTCTTACTTATTTAACATAAACTCTTTATGTATATTTTATTTATATTTCATATTGTTTTTTAGTTTTAAAGTGGTCTTTGTTTTTTCTGTTATTATATTTAATTTTTTTTCACAGTATTAATTTTTAAATAAATTATTTTTATTATTTAATTAAAAAAAAGCTTTAACTATTCTATACTTTCTCCCAATATAAGTTAGCAAATACGCATTTAGTTCGAGATGTTCGTGAAAAAGTGAAGAAGATAAACTCTTGACAAAAATATTATGTTTAGGTATTTGATTTAATTAATTATTTTACAAAAATGTAATTGATTGTACGGGGTGGGGGTGGGGGGGGGGGGGTAAATACCTGTAGGACCTCCCCAGTGCGGAGAACACTCTCAATTCTATCTGAGGGTAGGAAGGCTACCCCCCTGTACATGAACTGTAGAAGAATCTCTAGATCTTGAGACCGGGTTCCATCAAGGATGATAATCAGCTGACCGTGAAGAGGAGAGTTTGAGAATATTTTAGAGAAGTGTGTACTGCACGCAGCCAGGACCAATCGATGGGCTTTATAGGATTGACCTAAAAATCAAACCATTTTACACAATTTTCATATTTTTAAAATCAACCACATATGCTAAATTTGCTCTCTCATCATGTAAACCAGGAATAAAATGGATTGCTGATATCAGAAAATTATTTACCAAACCTTAAGAAAATAAGAAAGAAAAAAAATAGTTTTGTGACTAACTGAAATTTTCTAATCTCTATATCTTAGCAACCTGCTGGTGTATACCTTTGTAATTTCAAACTAAGACTTTTCATATAAAAAAATTTAAAATGTCTAAGGTCTACACATCGGGTTGCAAAGATATAGGAATGAACAAATTTAAGTTGTGGCAAAAACTCATTTCCTTTCAGAACAGAAAATTCTAGCAATTAAACATTTATTAAAAAAATAATAAATAATTATTAATCTACCAATATATTATTTATACCATTTGTGCTATTATTACATTATATATATATACACTGAGAATAGTAATAATATCTTCAATAAAAAATAATATCATTATGAATTTTAGTATAAATAATTATTTAAGTTTGAGAACCTAGATAATAGTATTTTTGAACACTTGTTTCTCAATCCTTTCTTGGCCTTGTAATAAAAAGGGTGTATTCATGTAAAATAAGGAACTCTTCATTAATACTACTTTACACAATAATCATTATTCAAAAAAGCATATTTGTGAAATAAATAAGATTTTAAAAACCATTATAATTAATTTTCAGCTAATTATTTTATATAGATATATTTAAACTATAACACTTAAGTATACATTAATTGCAAAGCTGGCTACATCACTAGTCGGGGCAGTGACCTCACGAAAATGCACAAATATGAAAAAATAAAAATTTAAATGATAAGCAGCAGAAAATATAAATACCCCCCTCTCTTAATCTTACTTGCACCTTTACCCCTGATTTAAAATGTACTTAATTTTAATACAATGTCTCCAAAATAATATTGGTTTATGAACATCAACTTCAGTGTTTCGGATCCGGATCCGGATCCGGTCGGATCCGTATCATTTGGTCGGATCCGGATCCGTATCAGGAAACGTTGATATGGATCCGGGTAGCGCCAAAAATTAACCAAAACCATGGAATAAATAAATCAAAATGGTTCGTAAATGTATTTTTTACATTTTACATGACGAAAATTTTTCAAAATTATCTTTAATAATTTAATGTTTACATTTATATAATAGTAAATTAATGACGACATTTTTAACTTTAGGATTTTTTTAAATTTTTTTTGTTACATTTCGCCCGGTTTCGGAATATATAATAAATATAGTTTATAAATAATAACCTTGCATAACATTTAATAGGGAAAATCCGATTCACAGAATCAAAAGTTACCTCGGATCCGGATCCGGATCAGGATCCGGATCCATCATCACGGATGCGGATCCGCGGATCCGGATCCGAATCAAAATGATATGGATCCGAAACACTGATCAACTTTGAACAAATTTTCGTTTTTTTGGCTCAAAACATATCTACAAAAAACATTGTATCATGATCATAGCAAATCTTTCATTCTTATGACCCATAAACAAAAAATTAGTAAAAAGTATCATGTACCACAAAAATTCTATTTTTTTTCGGGCATTGGCCCTTTAATTAGACACACTGCTATCTAATTGGGTATATAAAGATGTACCCCCCCACCCCCCACCCCCTTCCTCCATACAACATCACGAAACAGAAGATTTAGCCTGCACATGTGCTAATTTATTTGTAGCTGAAACTTTGTAAAACCCCAGGATTGGATTGTTTTCATGAAAAAAAATATAGTTTGCGTGTTTAAACTGCTTTCTCTTGTTTGCTTTGCCGTTGAAATCAAATTAATGTAAAAAATAAAATCAGGAGAGAAAAATAAATCAATGATAACATTGTAAACCCTCTTCTTTTGTTGTTCTTAAGTTTAAATATCAAATTAATTTTTAAAAATCGCTTCTCCCCGACTTTACAAGCTTCACATTTTCTTCAATTTTTACAACAAAAACAATTTCGTGACAATTTAACAATTTTGTATTAAAATGATGAAATCTTTTTAAATCTAATTTTACAAATAAAAATGTTAATTTATTTTTGGTAAAATTCTTAATATTTCATATTTACTTAATAACTAATAATGTTTATTTGACATGAAACTAATATTAGCTATACCAGTCGTATGGAGGAATTATTTTGTTGTTGCATTTTCTGCATAATTTCATTTTATTACCTAATTATATATTTTGCAAACTTACAGTTACAGAAAATTTCTTTATATTTTATAATTTTCCTTATAACAAAGTACTTGCAGAGTTAATTAGAGCAACATAGGGCACACTAAACTAGGCGAGTGTGTTCGGTCAAATAAGCCTATGATAGGCTGGGTACTGTAAAAAGTCTGGCCGTGCCTTCAAAGTTGAAACCAAGCTGGCATTGGATGAGTCGGGTCAGTACTTGCAGTACGTCAGTAAAACCGGTATAAGGGGTCGGTTCGGATCGAATTCAAATTTACCCTAGTCCTCTGTGAGGGTTATCAAATTCAATAAAAACATCACTTGATTTTGTACATGATAAGAGGTTGTCCACGGTGGACTTAAGTTAAAAGAAGACATTGCTCTTTAACCTTAACGACTTGGCACGCTTTTGGAATCTTAAGTCAGATACTTCTGAGTCTTAGTAGAGTTACTGATTTCTTACCACAAACTTTAATTTTGTAAGGCCTATATCTTTGTAATCTGATGCGTGTGTAAATTGTAAACATATGATATATCAAAATGTGAACTGTTATATGAACCCAGTATTCATTATTAGAAATATACAAGTTAGTCGACATCAGGCTGTCCAGAAAAATAAGAGTCTGTGGCAAATATTCGGTTCCTTTTTCTTCAAATTACCTTCACAGAAGAGTGTAACATCGGACAATGCTTCTGAAGCGAGTAATCCTCCAAACGTATCCAAGATATTCGTTTCGTAGGAGTTCCATCGGAGACAATACTGTTCTGAGTTTGACCCCATTCTTCCTCCCTCGCCCTCACCCACAGCAGACCTCCTAAACACCATACATGAAAAGTTTCTTTAAAAGAAATTGATAATACTACTAAACTTAAAGTCTCTTTAAAAGAAATTGATAATACTCCTAAACTTAAAGTCTCTTTAAAAGAAATTGATATTACTACTAAACTTAAAGTCTCTTTAAAAGAAATTGATAATACTACTAAACTTAAAGTCTCTTTAAAAGAAATTGATAATACTACTAAACTTAAAGTCTCTTTAAAAGAAATTGATAAT